ATTTAGCGTACAAAGCTGTCAATTGTCTTGATAAGTTGCATTCGAACTTCATAATGTGTAGTAGTTTTCTAAAAGGTTGGATATTTTTCGAAGGCTTTTTTGAGAAACTGTTGGTCTTGGGTATCTGATCACTTATGTTTGATGTTTTATTGGCTTGTGATTTCAAAATATCCAATGAGATAACACTATATGTAAAAGAAAGCTAAATGAAGCTGTTAATTCCTATGACGGTTGCAAAATTGATGATAGTGATATAGAAATCAAGTGTGACGTTAAGTATGTTGGATTAATTCTTTCTTCTGACCTATCCTAGTCTCCCCATGTCTTAGCGATTTCTAAAAGAATATTTCTTCTGACTTTTTACATTAAAAATTTAAGGCATTCGGGAATGACTCAACCCTTCCTCTTACAGTTTGTCAACTTTTACATCTGAACTTCTGTACTATTCACCCCTCTTCTTTCCTGGATTGCTTAGAAAAAACTGTCATACTTCGTAGAACTCTGAAGGCTGTCAGTAGGACGAGTAGTGGTATCCCATTGGGCCATATCGTTGATGTCGTCATTGATAGGCATTTGGTTGCATGCAGCAAATTTGGTAAAGGAATTTTGTCAAGCTGTGAGCATCGACTTTACCTGCGGCCTTCACCTTGTGTCTTCTCAGGTAATACCAGAAATCATTTCAAAAAACTATGCGTGCACGTCTTAGATCTAGGATACTACATTTGGCGCGTATTCTATGCGATGAAAACAGTGTCAGGGGAGAAATAACTAACATTATTTGCACTAGTGGATAAACCATTCTCCCCATCCTCATCCCATCAAGCTTTACTGTTATTATTCTTATATTTACAATCCTCTCTCAAATATCTTTGACTTAATACCCTAACTGTAGACGAATTTCTTTGGTTCATTTGTATTCTAAGTAATTCAAATGCACTATTGTGACAAATGCTGAGAATTCCATTCTATATTATAAGTCCTGTCTTTGGAATTTAAGTAGATTATTATTATTAGACTCTAATTAAGCCACTTTATCTTGCTCGACCTGCCCTTCGTGCTTTAATCATGCTAGTGGCGTGTTTCACAAAACTCATCACACAACGTATCCTCATCCACCTCAGTACCCGCAGCTTTCACCATGTCTCCTCAGCTAAAACAAGAAGTCACTTCAGAAGACTTTATGCGTGCACGTCCCGACCGAAAGCTGCTACCTTGACGTGGTGGTCGGGCTTGAACACCGCAATGACCTAATCAAGCTATACTGGCTGAGACTTATGTCTCTTGAGGTTCTACCATGCCAGGCAGGTTGTTTGGATAGCGGTTAAACAAAAAGCAGCTACCTCATCCAATACCATGATCCAAACAAATTCACAAAATTTCATGCCGGATCGGCCGTGGCCCGGATTAACAACGACCGCGCTTCCTGCTGCCGTGTCACAGGGCGGGAGTGATAAGTATGCTACTGAGGCACACAAAACAACGAAGAACGAACAAAAACAGGCCGCGTGTGACCGGCCACAAGCAGTTGTCCCCTGGGCTCTGCGGTCACGCAACCAACTTCCACGGTGTGGGCAGCCGGGAAGTAACAATCGCCCTCACAATCCAAAACGCACACAAAACCTCTCTAATCCTCACTTATCTTTGTCTTCATCTTCATCTCTATTACCTTACCTTCCCCCAGTGATGCAACTCCTCTACTTGATGGCTCCTCACTCCCTCTTCACTCTGTGTCCACTAAAAACGACGAAAGCCAAAAAACCACCACGGATAGTCTCCTAAAGCCACGCCACCAATTTCATATAGGAGCATTTAATGTAAGGACACTTTGCCAAATAGGACAACAAGCATCACTAGCTAAGACCCTGGCATCTCGAGCCATTGATGTATGTTGTGTTTCAGAAACACGCATACAAGACCCAAGTGTGGTTATTCACCTAACCCCACCTGGCCAACAGGATGAATCTTCAAAATTCACCTTGAGGGTGTCAGGAGATGCCACAGCTAGTTCACGGGGATTAGCTGGCGTAGGGATAGCTCTGAGTACTAGGGCAGAAAAGACATTGCTTGACTGGATCCCAGTAGATAGCCGAATGTGTGCTGTCCGTCTGAACGGATCAGTAAGAAGGAGAAAGGACTGCACTACTCGCCGATGCCTTTTCGTAATCTCCGCCTACGCCCCCACTGACTGCAGTTCGGATGAAACGAAGGATGAGTTCTACCAAAAGCTGTCTAGTTTGGTGAGAAAGGCTAAACGCTCAGATATAGTCGTTCTAGCTGGTGACTTCAACGCTCAAGTAGGGAAATTGTGTCAATCTGAGAAGGATGTCGGTGGCACCTATGGAGTTCCGTGCCAGCGAACCGACAACGGTGACCGTCTCCTACAGTTCTGTTCAGATAATCATTTGTTTCTTGTAAGCACTAACTTTAAACACAAGGAGAGACACTGTTTAACCTGGCGACCCCCATCATCAAACCAACGCTGGACACAAATAGACCACATAGCAATAAGCTATCGTTGGCGTGGGTCGGTAGGAGATTGTCGCTCCTTCTGGAACACGTGTGTAGATACCGATCACGCACTGGTCCGGGCTCGTGTGTGCTTACGACTGAACGGACGTAGGAAACAGCTGGCGGTAAAACCATTACGCCCCCAGCTCGATCAGGAAACTAAATCCCTATTTGAGGAAGAACTAGCTAAACGCATATCTGAATCCGACAGCTGTGCTCACCCTGGAGAAGCCTGGAAGAATATTCAGTCAGCTATAGATACAGCTGTAAAAGCTGTGAATAAGACAAATCCAAAGGTGAGTAAAAACCACTGGATTTCGACTGCCTCATCCGAACTGATAGATGCTAGAAGACTTATTCCGGCGAGCTCCGAATTCAATGAGGAGCGAAAGCTGCACAAAAGGAAACTTACTAAAAGTCTCCGCAAGGACCGTGAACAGTGGTGGGTGACAAAGGCGAAAGAGATGGAAAAAGCATTGGCGATAGGCAACACTAGGCAACTCTTTAGACTCATCACAGAATCGGGCGGGAAAAGGCAATTCATAAGTGAGACTATTTCTGAGAAAAATGGCTCCTTAATTAGCTCTCAGGATAGACGCCTTGAACGCTGGAAAGAACACTTTGAGGAACAATTTAACTTGCCTACAGCCACACTGAACCTCCCCGCCATCCACCACGTACCCGAATGGGATATAGACACTGGTCCGCCGTCTGTAGGTGAGGTTACAAAAGCTATCAGTAATTTGAAACGAGGCAAAGCGGCAGGACCCGACGGAATTATTCCGGAGGTGTTTAAATATGGGGGTGACATACTAGTTTGTAGATTAACTGAGGTACTAGGCAAAGTCTGGGAATCAGAGACAGTACCATCAGACTGGGGTAAGTCACTTATTATACCGATATTCAAGAAGGGAAACAAGTCCTCGTGTGATAATCATAGGGGGATCAGCCTAACGAACATAGTCTCTAAAATCCTAGGCTCAGTAATCATGCATAGACTAAGCAGAACTCGGGAGGAACAGACAAGGGAAAATCAAGCAGGCTTTAGACCAGGTAGAGGGTGCATAGATCATATCTTCACTCTTCGACAGATTCTAGAACATAGACACACTTTTCGGCGTCCAACAATTGTCATATTTCTTGACTTGAAGGCGGCCTTCGACTCCGTGGACCGAAAAGTACTATGGCAATGTCTGACTGTGAAGGGAGTGCCAAGAAAGTACATTGCACTAATCAAGGCACTCTATTCAAACTCACGTAGTCGTGTAAGGGCTTATGGGGAATTGTCATCTGAATTAGTAACAACCAGTGGTGTCCGACAGGGATGTCCACTTTCCCCATTTCTGTTTAACTTCATCATAGATATGCTAATGGAAGTATCCTTAACTGAACGTAGTGACTTAGGAATCGACTTGTTACCAGGGAATAATCTAATGGACTTAGAATATGCAGATGACATAGTCCTGTTAGGGGAGGATGCTGACAAAATGCAGAGTCTTCTGAACACCTTGAGCAGCAATCTTCGTATGTTTGGCATGCGATTCGCCCCTGCAAAATGTAAGATGCTGCTACAGGACTGGACGACGTCAACCCCTAACTTAGTGATAGGGAGTGAAGTGATAGAACATGTTGACCACTTCACCTACTTGGGAAGTTGTATTAGCACCAACGGACTGATTGGCGATGAAATCTCAGCACGGATCCGAAAAGCTCGAGCTGCTTTCGCTGACTTACACCATCTCTGGCGTAGGCGTGACATCCGGTTATCAACCAAGGGACGTGTGTACTGCTCATCAGTTCGCTCCGTCCTTCTCTATGGCTCTGAAACATGGCCAATACGCGTTGAAGACATGAAAAGGTTGACTGCTTTCGATCATAGATGTCTGCGATCTCTGTCTCACGTTAGGTGGTTTCACAAGATAAGTAATGTTGACGTTAGGCGTAGAGTGTTGGGCAAAGAGGGAAAATCAATCGACGAGGTTATAAAGTTACATAGACTAAGATGGCTAGGTCACGTGGTGCGCATGCCTAACCACCGCCTCCCCCGACGGGCATTGTTAGCTGATATAGGTTCAGGTTGGAAAAGAGCCAGTGGTGGCCAAACAAAAACATGGCATCAATCCATGAAATCCTTGACAGTTAAACTGAGTCAGGTAGGGAGATGCAGACTCCCGGGTTGGGGCCCTCGGGACTCTAGGAATCAATGGCTGGAGACAATAGGTGACATGGCTCAAAATCGTTGTCAATGGCGCAGATGTATTCAGTCTCTGTAATCTTTCATATTCCTTTCTACCATTACCCATTCTGTTTCACTCTTATATTTGTCAAACTCTATTAATTCTCTCCACTCATCTTCTTGTCTACCTCTGTGTGCTATTTGGAACGTGGCAACTCGAACTGCTGCACTTCGGTGCCAAGTTCTATGTTGAATCCAGACAGACAGACAGACGTCTTAGTATAATAATTCCACGAAACCATATTTGGCACGTATTTTATGTGATGAAAATAGTGTCAGGGACAAATTGACTAAATGATATAAGTATAAAACTTTGGCACTGTGGTAGAGTATAACTCCATTACGGATAAGATTTTATTTTGATAAACCACACAGTGCTGTACAGTTATATTAACTGATAACTGTACAACTGTGTGACTTATCAAAACAAATTGACTAACCTTTTTACCACTAGTAAATACACCATTTTCTCCATCCTTATTCCATCAATCTTTCTTGTTATTGCCCTTCGATATTTATTTTCTCAAGTGTAAACATCATGTAGGCTCTATGATAATTATTAATTTTTGTCTTTCTCCTCACCATGCTATATAAATAGAACATTAAATTCAATAATCTATAACATGCTAAAATTTCCAAACTGTACCGATAATACGATTTGAAACAAACCCACTGTTATTATTACCATTATTACTATAGTTATTATTCTTATTTTGTACTTTGCACATTTTTGACTTTATTCTTACCGTAACTGTGGACAAATTGCTGTGGTTAATTTTGTTTATATTTTGTGTAAATTAGATGCAATATAGTGACAAATGCTCAGAATTCCATTCTGTATTATAAGCACTGGTTTTGGAATAAAGTAGATTATTACCATTATTATTATTATTAATATGTAAAACAATACGCTTACCATAGAAGTTGCATGTCACTTTTGCGAGATTAATTACGAAATATCCCCATACAATATAGTAAGTTCAGACCTTGATTAATACCCGGAAGTCTGACGATCAGTCTGCAAGTTTAAAGGTCAACAAAGACACTTTGGCAGCGTTTTTATTTTGTTGTATCACGTATATAGAATCATGATAACTTTCAAAATCCCCACACGGTGCATTCTATTGTACATATATTTCAATCACATATTTAAGTTAACTTATGTACATAGATGCAATTGCATATCTGTTGGGAATGAAGTTACCGGAAAGATATCTTTACTGAGCTTCTTTTTCCTCTCTAATGTCGTGATAGTGCCTCGGCGTCACACCTGTAGAATGCTCACCAACCACGCCACATGTGGTTCGGGGTTCAATCCCCGGCCGATGCAATCGTTTAACTTGCTAAGACTGGTAAAGAAGGAAGGTTACATATGAGGCTAGCAACCTCATTCCCGTAAAAATAAATGCCACTGCTAGTGAAACTTGAAAGTTCTAGCTTGAAGTCCCCTATGCTCCACTGGGAACGTAAAGGAGTAAAAAATGTCGTGATAGGTATTTTCTACGATATTTCAATTAATTTTTCTCTGATAGTCATCAATCTGTTTTCCTTTTAGATTTAATTTATGGCTGATCGTAGTCGTTTTGAAATTTTGGAAGAAAACATTGAATGTATCATTGATCATTGCAGAGAGGCGGGTATTGTTGTGTGTGATTACCAACCGAGTATTTCATTTCAAAAGAAGATAAACGATTTAGTTTACAAGTTACAGGTACTTTCACTTATTTATGTCTTTTCTAATGTGTTGCAAAAGTTGTGAATAAATTTCTCTACATACTGATTTTATTTTGTGGAATAAACTTGTGTTCAGATTTTTGGTTAAGTCATTAAATAAAATTCTTTACGGAATACTTGAAAAGGATTGGACACATGTGCTAATATCAGTTTCGACAGAAGTTAAGATACATAGGTTATTGGATCCCAATCCACTGAATAAATGGTGACATCCTTGCTGTTTGACCTAAAAGTCCTGTTCTCTCTATCCTCCCTTATGGCTGTGAGACGTGATAGCCATTGAAAGTCGGGGATCTGAAAAGGCTAGCTGTTTCTGATCATAGGTGTCTGCTTTCTATCTCTTATAATACGAAGAGTAGTACAATGCTAGCTGACATGGGATCAGGTTGGAAAAGAGCTAGTGGTAGTCAAACCAAAAATCGCGATCGCTCCATAAAGTCTTTGGCAATTAGTTTGAGGTAACCACGTAAGGAGGTGTAGACTTCCTGGTCGGGGTCCTTGTATTCGCTTATTTATATAGCTTTGGGATAAGACGTCTCCTCATTGTTCCATTGCTACCAGTGTTGTCAACAGGAACTGGATAAACCAGTCATGCATGTTAAAGTGACAACCACCATTACCTTAGTAAAATATTATATTTGTAAAATCTCAGCGAAATTGAAATGAGTAATTCCAATGTTTCCTGTGTTCGGCAATCTGGTCCGAACTTCTTCAGGGAAATTAATCGAAATTAACATAACAGGTTTATAAATTAAAAAGGACATCTCTTATTTTTAAAAATTTTCTCCAAAAATTGGTTCAATTCACTCTTGAATCAAATAATTATCCTAAAGCCTTCATAAAAAGATATTTACAATGTGAAGATAAGAATGGATCGAAACCTGTTGCTAAGAATTGGGTTAGTGCAGTGGTGATTCCTCACCAACAAAGAAACATCGAATGAGATAAAGCGAATCCTTAATTATCTGAACATAAGTGTATTTTCGTGCAACTAACACCTTACACTCCTTATCACTGGTGATGGTTAAGGATAAGAAAATAGAAGACAACCAACAGAACTGTGTGCACCAGATCAATTGTGGGGACGTATATGTAGGAGAAACTTCCAGATAGCCAAATATAAGAGTGAAAGAGTGTAAACAATGTCTATAGGTGGTTCCAAAGACATCTGCAGACTTAAAGAAGCTAAAAAACAGATCAGCGATTGCACTGCATTTGATAGAAACGGGACATAAAGTCGACTTTGATAAGACTAAGGTTCCACAGCAAGGTTTTGGTTCGTATTAAGAAAGACTGACTGCAGAAGCTTTGTATATCTGTGTGAATCCCAACAGTTTCAACAGACATGCAGATGTGATGTTAGCTGATGCATGGCAAATCCTGATTAATAAATAAACAAAAAATGGATATGTATCACTAATTAATCATGCTTGGTCTAAATTCCCGATTGTCTAAATCTTCCTATGAAGAGGCTAACAAACGTTTTATGACTGTTTACCCATACACACACCATTGTATACCGCATATATACACAAAAATTCTCATATTCAGTTATCTACGACCATGTGCCTTTAGTCGAACGTAATCCGATAAAAAGTTTAAATTGTTTAACAAAAGTAGACTAATTTTGAAAGTCTGAGGTCAAGTTTTGATCACATTTCATACAATTTTGTTTATTATACATGTTGATACCTGCTTCATGATTCATATGATTGGACAAAGTTTTTTTTAAAAAACAATAGATGTCTTTTTTATATATAAACACCTCTGTTATGTTAATTTCGATTAATTTCCCTGAAGAAGTTCAAACCAGATTGCCGAACGCAGGAAACGTTGGAATTAATCATTTCAGTTTTTCTAAGATTTTACAAATATAATTTTCTTTTGCAAATGTCTACTTCTCACTCGGCTCCCAGTTATATTTTGGAACTATTCGGTCAAATCTTGATCACAGTTCATATGAATCACCATTACCTTAATTAGTCCTCTCTCCTGTTGAGAATCAGTTTTCAAACAAAGCTATTAAACTCAAAGAAGTTTTGGTAATAGAGTTTCTAGCAGATTCCTGTATTTCATGCACACTAGCAATTATCGCATTAAATCTCTTATGGCTGATGGCTTCTTAGTGAATACAATAATAGAAGTAGGTCTGCGCTGCATCATTTATTATAGTCTGATTATTCTAGATATAAGTGACTTATAATATCCAATAAAACTCTATGGTTCTTCGATATTTCTGTTCCCCTTTGCCTTATATCTCTGTTTACTGTCTCTATTTTGCATTTCTTTTTACTTTCTTCTCTTGCTTTGTGTGCTATATGGAGGAACTGCTGCACATCAGTGCAAAGTTCTACGTTGAAACCAATCAATCAATCACATATAAGTTTTCTTAAAAAGAATGAAATGCAGAACAGTTACTAAGTGTTTTGTGATTTTATAATAGTTTATTGCATTTATTTCATTTCAAACACAAACTTTGTACATGATGGGCACCAAGGGATGCGACACAACAATTTTGCATAAAGAATATAGGCAGAGAATGAATGAGGGATGTCATCTAGAAGACAAGCACGCAAATACATTTGTGAGGATTATTCAACATTCATCACTTTACGGTTTGTCTGTCTGGTTTCAAGATAGAACTTTGCACCGATGTGCACAAGTTCGAATTGTCACACTTCACTCAGTACACAAAGCCAGAAAGGAAAGTAAAACGAAATAGAGACAGTAAACTGAGATATGAGGCAAAAAGAATAGTAATATCGAAGAACAATATAGTTTTATTGAATATTATAAGTCACAAGGAGTGGATGCATCTGCGCCAGCCATTGGTGTTTACCGTCCCCAGGACCCCATCCAAGAAGCCTACACCTTCCTACATAACTGGTTTAAACTAACAGTTGTGGATTTCATTGACTGATAAGGCCATGTTTTGTTTTGACCACCACTGGCTCTTTTTCAACTTGACCTTATGTCAGCTAACATTGCCCATCGAGGAAGGCGATGGCTAGGCTAGGTTTACATAACACATGTCCTAACCATCTCAGTCAATATAGCTTCACAGCCTCGTCTATTGATTTACCCTCCCACCTACCTAACACTTGACCTATGCCTAACCTCAATGTTGTTCACCTTATTATACCACTTCACACGGGAGAGAGAACGCAGGCACCTATGATCAAAGAAAGCTAGCTATGCTTTTCATGTCTTCCACTCTGAATGGCCAGGTCTCACATACAGTCGTAAAAGATGACGGAGCGGACTGCTGATCAGTACATACGTCCTTTGGTCGATGGCCAGCCGGATATCACGTCTAGGCCATAGACGGCGTAAACTGGCATATGCGAAACTAGCCCTCTGTATCCGTGCTGAGATTTCGTCAGAGATCAACCCATTGACGTTGGCTGATGCAACTTCCCAAATAAGTGAAGTGGTCAACTCGCTCTACCTCTTCACTCCCTATGTCTAAACTAGGAGTCAATGTAGTCCAGTCCTGCAGCATCATTTGCCATACATCCGCAGATTGCACCTCTAGGTGTTCAGAAGACTGTGCTCTATTTTGTCAGGGTCTTCACGTAGAAGGACTATATGATCTGCTTACTTCACGGTACTGTTAGAAAGGGAAGAAAGAAGTGGTGGCATGTTTGCCATTGATTGTGTGATCCATGACCATATCTAATAACGTTTCAAGCCACCTATTCGAATTATCTTTTGGACTCCAGTTAGGGAGCCGCTATCTGCCAACTGATGCTTACGTAACATATATGCTCTTCATCCCATGGCGCAACGTCATAGACTGACCACTTCTGCTCTTTTTCCATCCAGTTCCCGGGCTAATGGACAGCAGCCGGTACGGTAACCTCTAGGATGATATTCGTAGCACATAGCCAAGCCACCGAAGCCTATGTTTCAAGATGACCACATTCAACGAATAGTGATCTCCACTGTATTCAAACACTTACACGATGAGGCCATCAGACATAAGCAATCGTTTGGTGATGGCGATGATGGAATACGCAGAGTTGCTGCATATCCTCAACCATGAGAGGCCACGTTTCGCAGGCGTAGAGCGCAAAACTGTGTGCACTGGAGCAGGCAGACGTCGTGACGGCGTCATAAGTGGCACAGATTGACGTATGCCATTTTCTCGGGATTTCAGATAATCACCTCTGTAGTGTGAACATTGTTTGTTTTTCTACATGTAGTGACTGTTTTTTTTATTAATTGTGTAAACTCTTTACTTCACCAACGTGTATTTAACATCAGTAAATTGTTTAATTGGTAGTGTTTGCTTCTTATTTTCTTAAGGATGTCGACCGAATGCAAGTGGACATGCAAGATGTACACGTTCCAATCGAGTTATTTTCTAAAATTGATTCTGGTCAAAATCCTCAATTGTATACACGAGAGTGTATGGAACAAGCATTAGCTAAGAATGAAGCAGTTCGTGGAAAGTTGGATAGTCTTCGTCGTTTCCGAGCTCTACTTATGTATGAACTGTGTCGTACTTTTCCAAATGAAATGGCTAAATATCGTGCTGTACGTGGTGATCCCGACGCACCAGTAGTCGTTGGGCCTACAATGTCCAGTAACACTCAGTCAAATGGATCGGGCACTGAAACTGGTCCTGAGTCTGTCCCACTTCGGTAATATTATTCGGATGTGAGAGCAATTTTTATATATTTTTGGAATAAAACAAGGAGACATCTTCATATTTTCCTCTAATGTACATAACTTTGTATATATATAAAAAATTTTTTTAACCAATGACCGTGAATTTTTGTGGATCAAAAATAATGAGCGTCAAGTGGTGTAAATACGTCAGTAATAAAAGATGATTGTAGTGGTAATAATAACAATAATTTAATTTATTCCAAAACAGTAATTATGATAGATATACAGTGTGGGATTTTCAGCATTTAGTATGCTACTGCTTTTAATTTACCCAATAACAACAACAAAAAGATTTTATTTTTATAAATTACACAGTGTTATAGAGTAATTATTATTATTATATCCTTTAATTCCTAGAGGAACATAGGGCTTCAGCTGCGCGTCTCCATTTCCTTCTGTTTTCTGCCAACTTTTTTACCCCGCTCCAAGTCTGCCCACATACTTTCATCTCCTCCTCACATGACCTCCTCCAAGTCACCCTTGCACTGACGACCAACTCGCCGCTTCCCTTTCGGGCTCCACTCGAGCAATGGCTTGTCTAGTGATGTCAGTTGATGGTTTCCTCGGCGTATGGCCAATCCATCTGCATTTCTTCCTGCCTATTTGTTGCACAATCGGTTCCTGCTGGGTTGGTTCGCTTATTGCCAGAGATCCCTGTTGCTGATCTTTTCTGGCTGGACATCTGATCTTGAATAGTATCGAGCGAAGACAACTGTTAATGGTCTGAAGTTTGTTTGAGATGCTCATTATGATGCGCCACTTCTCTGATCCGTATAGTAAGTAGCACTGACTTCACATTGGAGTTGAAAATCCGGATCTTATTTTTGATGCTGAGTAGTGTTGACCTCCACACAGACTTAAGGGTAATGAAAGCTTGTCTTGCTTTCCCGATTCTGGCTTTGATATCCTCGTCAGTTCCGCCTGTAGTTGAAACGATGCTTCCCGGGTAGGTAGGTAGGTAGAGGAGGTTGTTTCTTCCAGGTTCCTCCCATTTATGCTGACTGTTGTCTGTTGTTGTTGTTGTTGGTGGTGGTGTTGGCCAAGAATCTTCATCACCTCTGTTTTCTCTATGTTCACTTGAAGTCCTATCTTTGATGCTTCTTCTGCCAGCTTGTTGCTTTTCACTTGCATATCTTCCAGTTTGTGGGAAATCAGACATAATTTGCTTTATTCCAAAACAGTACTTGTGATACAGAATGGAATTCTCAGCATTTTACTACAGTATTGCATCCAGTGAGTACAATAACAATTAATACAAATTCTACATAGATTATGGGTAATCTCAGTTCGTTTTGACAACAACATATTGGCATGTCGGTAGGAAAGTCAAAATTCAACAGAGTGTTTGAAGGTGTTAGAGAAGTAGATGCTAGCATATTTACTGGCGTAAGCGGTAACAAAAGGTCGAGATATACAGAGTGTGAAAGAACGAAGAAGAATGTTTTAAACAGAGTTTGTAAAGAAGACAGAAACAAAGCAGCACATAACAGAACAAGAAGAGAAAAGGAAAAGAAAGCGTTGTACCCATAAATGATATGAGTTGGAAAGACAAGATCCAGTTGTTCTACTGACTATTTAATAAGTTAAAGGTATCACGCCTAATGCTTTCTTTATCACACAGAACACGAGCTAAGTAGGGTATGGTTGAGTTTTGTATTCGCTGGTGCGAGCTTATAGTTTTCTATATAGGCCTCTGGTTATGTCTGATGAGATACAAGGGGAGAGTTGTGAATGAAGAGGATGGTGTGAGTTAGATAGATAGAATGGATTTAGCCCATTTTTCACATGAGTCCAAGTGCCTGTCAACCAGAATATTAACAAGCTGGTTAAGTGGCACGTAGCTTACCCCCGACCTACTAGTTTGACCGAACTATGTACTTGACCTAACTCGCAGTCATTGCAAGGTCTGTCTGTATGTTTTCGACATAGAACTTTGCACATATGTGCACCAGTTCAAGTCGCCACACTCCCTCCATGTAGCACACAAAGCAACAGAAGAAAGTGCAAGAAATGCATAATAGAGACAGTAAACAGAGGTGGGAGACAAACGGAATAGTAATAATGAAGAACAATTAGTTTCATTGGAAATCATAAGTCACAAGGAGTGGATGCATCTGCCCTAGACATTGAGAACGGTTTTTAGCCATATCACCAATTGTTTCCAACCATTGATTTTTACCGTCCCGAAGACCCCAACCAGGAAGTCTACACCTTCCTACATGGCTTAGACCAACTGTTGTGGATTTCATTGACTGGTGGGGCCAAGTTTTGGTTTGACCGCCGCTAGCTTTTTTCCAGCCTGACCCTATATCCGCTAACATAGCTCGTCGAGGGAGGCGATGGTTTGGCATACGTAACACATGTCCTAACCATCTCAGTCTTTGTAGCTTCACGACTTCGTCGATTGATTTCCCCTGTTTACCTAGAACTCGACGCCTAACCTCCATGTTGCTCACCTTATTATGCCACTTTACACGGGAAATAGAACGCAGGCACCTATGATCAAAGACAGCTAGTCTTTTCATGTCTTCCACTCTCAGTGGCCAGGTCTCACAGCTGGCCATAAAGGAGGACGGAGCGGACTGATGACCAGTACACCCGCCCTTTGGTCGATAGCTAGCCGGATATCACGTTGTAGTAAATTATTGTAATAGGAATATTAGTATTTCGAGATGACCGAGTTACACGAATCCAACCAAAACTCAGAGAGGGCAACAATCAGGAATTTGTATTTAGCGGAATTATTATGCAATTCATATAAGAAACATATCAACAGTCAACAGTAAGTATTTTAAACAATACAGAGATAGAAATTGTCAATCACCACATCCGCCACACCTCGAATATCTCCTCGCGTATTTATAACGATGTCTCGGTTTGCTTGCAAGTAGCTTCGACCTAACTGATTCTGTGATATTATTTTCATCAGTATTATCTGGACTTATTTCTGAATTATCTACAAAATCAGGATTATTAGCGGAATCAATAATATTATAATTGGAACGACCTACTTCATTTATTGTCACTTTGTCCAGGTGTCCGTTATGAACTGAGTGATCTTTGATGTCTAATATCTTCACCACTCGATTTCCCATTTTTTGTAGTATAATTCCAACAGAAGGTCTATAGTTATTATCTTTGTAATAATGTACATTAGAAGTCGTGGACATCAGATGCTTTTTGAGAATTCGAGATTTGAAACGTTTTGCAGGACTTTCACGGGTACTTGTATGCTCTGCATTCACCAGACGTAGTCTATGCATATGCAGTAATTCCTCAATTTTAATCAGTTGCTCTCTCATCTCATTCAGGTCTTTTCGTGTTTTCGACAGTTCACATTGCAACTTGGCTACCTCATTTTTGAAAACAGTTGATGCTTGAGTTGCTGAACTTGCAGTGGAGGTTTTCGTTGGATTAGCTTGAGTATTTTGAAAGGTTGAAAGACACATTGACTCCATTTTACTAGACAGCTTGGGAGAATTATAAGAATGTTGAGCAACATAAGTATTTGAACTTCTGCAAACCGTCTTGATGTGTCCAACTTTACCACATTTATGACACTTAGCACCCCGAAAACGGCAAGTGCTTCGTAGATGTAACTTTCCACAGGATAAACACGGTTTAATGTTTTTGATCTCTCTCTGCATTCTATTACCTGTGGACGGCAGTTTGGATTGCTTTCCATGACCACTTGTATTTTCGACTTTAGAAAGCATAACATCAGACACTGACGTAGTGGGAGCAGAGTATTCATTATTGACATCTTCATATGTAATACATACATCTTTAGCAGTTTGAAACGTACAAGAAGGAATCTGAATTAACTCCTTCTCTAATTTAACCATGTTGATTCCAGCAATTAGACGATCACGTAGTTGTGTATGCAGCTGATCTCCAAAATTACACTTTGAGGCTTGAATTTGAAGTTGAAGAATAAATTCTCGAATCTTCTGGTTGGGAGAACGTACCAGTTTGTTGAAGTGAGCCCTCTCTCTGGTCTCAAAAGTAGTTACATGGAAATGATCTATAAGAATTTCACGGAGCTTAGCATATGGCAGAGAAATAGGTTTATCTGGAAACGCCAGATTCTTCACTAGGCTATATGCATCAAGCCCAATAGCAGTGATGAAATGAGCAGGTATTTTGTCAGCCCGAACATTCTTGGAAATGCACCACGCATCGAAGCATTCCAAATAATCAGCAATCTCCCGCGGAGACCCATTAATGGGGAATTTTCCCAGGTTACTTAGCCCCATCACGACGCCAATTTGTAGTAATTTATTGTAATAGGAATATTAGTATTTCGAGATGACCGAGTTACACGAATCCAACCAAAACTCAGAGAGGGCAACAATCAGGAATTTGTATTTAGCGGAATTATTATGCAATTCATATAAGAAACATATCAACAGTCAACAGTAAGTATTTTAAACAATACAGAGATAGAAATTGTCAATCACCACACACGTCTACGCCAGAGATGGTGTAAACTGGCATATGCGAAACTGGTCCTCTGTATCCGTGCTGCGATTTCGTCGGAGATCAACCCATTGGCTTTGGCTGATGCAACTTCCCAAATAAGTGAAGCGGTCAACTCGCTCTACCTCTTCACTCCCTATTTCTAAACTAGGAGTCAGTGTAGTCCAGTCCTGTAACATTATCTTAAATTTGGGGGAAGTGAATCGCATGCCAAACATTCGTAGATTGCAGCTCAAGGTGTTCAGAAGACTCTGCATTTTGTCAGCGTCCTCGCCTACAAGGAATATATCGTCTGCATATTATAAGTCAGCGAGATTATTCCCTGGTAGCAATTCAATCCCTGAGTCGCTGAAGTCACTTAGGGTTAAGTCCATTAACACATCTATGATGAAGTTGAATAGAAATGGGATAATGGGCATCCCTGATGGACACCACTAGTTGTCTGTCACCAGTTCAGATGACTGATAGGATCCCACATATTTCGGTATTGACT